TTGGCATAAAGGGACCAATGTTTTCCAGCCCCAACCTTGTATGACCAGCACCATCTTCGAACAAAGGAGCATTCTCTATTACCTTTCCCCCTAAATAAGAACAAGCTTGTGCATTCTCCGCCATTTTCCATCAGTGTGACATTTCTCTTTGTATTTTTCTGCAAGCACATCGCTGTTGCTTTTCTGAACTGCTTGATGATAAACTGTGAAGTGGATGCTTAGCCACTTGTAAAACTTGTCTTAAAGGAACTGGGTCTGAGGCACACACACACACATTACCCTCAGCAACCTGAGGTGTCAAGAGAATAATACCACTAACGTGGTAACCCGGTAGTTTTTCACATGGGATTTGGTCATTGCAATAAAATGCTGCAGCTTCTCTCAGAGAAGAGTTGGGCAGGAACCCAGCTTAGATAGCAGAATACTTGGCTGTTCTGGATACCACTCTGGTTCAGCATAATATCGATCTTCTGATAACTGGCTTTCAAGACAGATCCTCTCTAGAGAGATTTTGTTGTATTCTCTTTTAGAGAGGTTGTGAGTTTAAAAGGAGCCTTTTAAAAACCATGAAGCATATGTTTCTAATGCATTTCCTACATGTGCCTTTGGAACATGTTCTAGGTACATAGATAAAACTACCTGTATCTTACAACCAAATAACAGGAGGTGAATCACAATAGAGTAGCATCTAGAGGAGTAGCATCTAGAAGCTTCCAGAAGAAATTATTTTATTTGAGAGAATATTGAAAAAAATTTGAAAAGAGACATTGAGAAAGCAATCCATGTTCTCTTTATCAATTTTCTCATTCTCAAATACGTGTTTAAAGGCTGGGGATGTAGCTCAGTGGTGCCACTGCCTGCCTGGCAAGGGCAAGGTCCTGAGTTTGATCCCCAGTACCAAGGGGGAAAAAAAGATCAAATACCTATTTTAACAAACTGATTGCAAATTACTATTTCAAAAGTTATCATCAGATTTTTCTGTTCCCTCTTTTACAGGAAAGTTATGTTATCTAGTTAAAAATTAGAAATCACCAACTTACTGTCTAGTTTACAAAAAGGGCAAGTTTAAGTATTCAAAAATGCCATTTCTACTACTAGGAAAATCGATTAGAAATTTTCTTTTTTCCAGAATTGTGTGAGGTTTTAAGCCTTTAGTACAAGCTGAAGAGGCAGGTGGTTAGTATGAAGCTGTGCCCAGTCTCGTGGAGGACAAAAGTCATTAGAGGTACCAGGCTGATCAAGGACTACTGACCTAGTGCGTTTCAGTACTTTTTGCAAAAGAACAGGTCAAGAGGTGGTGCCAGAAACCCAGACTCCAGGACCAGGAGAGAATTACAAAGATATTTTAAACTAAAAAAAGAGAACAAAGGCCATTTCTGAGCCGGGTGATTAAATTGAAATCTATAAGTACAGCAGCGATAATCTGAAATTCCATAATTGTTTGTGCAGCGAAATAGTACATTAAAAAGGATCTTAAGCAATTACCAGAAATGCCTCCTCCAGAGCAGTGTTAGTAGAAGCATGGCCCGTCCCCTGGGCGGACACAACCTCAAACTTTGTCCAGATTGATGGCAGCTAGGGGGCAGGGTCATGAAATCATCAGGAAGAGGGAAGGATTTGGAGTTATTAACCTGGAATATGACTGAGTGCGTGGGGGAGAGAGGATTGCTGCAGGTGGGAAGCACGTTTATTAAAACTAGAAAGTTCCAGAAATCTTGGGTATAACGAATTTTTTTCTAATCTCTTTAAACTCCTTTCCACCTGTTGCCTTCGTATCCAGGTGCTTCCTCATTAGTCCCCCGAAATTACTTGCCTAGAGTTCCATGATAAAAGACCCCTTTGCCTTGATCTGTTACAAAGGAGACGTGAGATCAGCACCGCGCCATTAATGATTTCACTGAGTAGCAGGGGACACGAGCCCGCAGTTTTCTTTCCTCATTGCCCACAGCAAGCTGTGCCTTCCAAGCTGCTGACAGGCTGTGAAACTGAGCAAACTGTATGGTCCTGTGTGAGTGAGATCAGGTTCCTCTCACCGAAGAACAGGACCGCGTTTGTTTGCGTCTCTGTAAAATGGGATACTTCAGTGAAGGCAGAAGTTCTAAGGTCATGGTTCTGATAACTCTGACCTTTGAACACTGGCCATCACACCTGCCAGGTGTGGGCACAGGTTTGTACAGACTGTTGTCAACGCTGTGGCTTCAAGTCAGAACAATTTAATTACTCACCAAGCTGCCAAATTCTACTAGTTGCCCTCGTCAGCATATCCCGTTGATTGCTGAATGACAGAGTAACATGGCGGGCGGGGGGGGTCGCACTGCGTCATCTGTAAAATCTCAAAGCCTCCTGTGGTTTCTCTTGCAAAGAGAAAAGGGGGCCTCTCTTCCACGGACCCAGCTCACAGTTCAGCGATTTGGACCTTTGCCTTTTCTAGACTTGCTGACAGTTTTCTAGATCGGACTGTTTGGTGTTTATCCATGCGTTGGTCTCACACTTTACTAAACCCACAGCCTTTCCTTTCGTAGGCCCTGTGAATTGATACAGACCCCTCTCAGGAAAAGGACACTGGCCGCCCTGGCTTGGTCACTCCCTGTATGTCCATCCCGCACGCATAAAGTATAGGTGTACTTTAGACTGCAGGAGTGAAATGTAACAAGCTTCTCAGCCAGCGACCCTCGGGCTGTCCTAATGTCCGCTACGCTGCTGAGATCCACAGGCAAGCAGGGTGTTTGTTCGTGTGCGGCCTCCCGGCTTCCAGCTCCAGTCCAGTCCCAGGGGCCTCTCTGCACTGACCGCCTCTCTTCTTTGAACTGTACACCTTCTCGGCAGGTGGCACCTTTCCTAGAACCAGTCTGTTGCCTTATGCTCGCCTACGAATGTGCCCAGGTGGACTTCAGCAAGGGCTTTGGCTGACGCTCGGAGGGTGGGACTGGTTGGATTTGAAGGTGCGCGCCTTGCACCTCCTTGCTGGGTGGCAGTGTATTTCCTGTCTCTCGCTGGATGCCGTCCAGGGTCTGATCGTTCCTGTCTCCTCGCTGCCCACTCCTCCCTCAAGCTGGCTTCTCACAGCCCTTTTATTCTTGGTTCCGACTGTCTCGCTGGCCAGGTGAATGCTTTTTCTGCCCACATGATAGCCGACTCAAGGCCCAGCATGCTGTCACTTCTGTCTGCCTCACCTGGACGCCCACATGGAGCGAGCACCCCCAGGAGGCCCCCCACGTTTTGCTGGATCCTTGATGGACAAATAAAAAGTGACTCTCAAACCACAACTCACAAATGCATGGAATGCCAGAATTTCTCTTTTCTAATTCCTATTTGGAGTGATAACATTTTTCTTTTTGTGATTTTTTTTTTTTTAAGAATAGTGCAGTACCTTGAAACAATTGCAGTTCTAACATGTTGTCGCTATCTCTATCTACAAGTTCCGATTCTTTCACAATTATTGTACTTACCTTGTGCACTAGTGTCAATAAAATTGACATTTGCGAAGCAATTTCTGGCCTTTTTCTCCGGGGTTTCTGGGTTTGGTGGTGTGTGGGGTGATTGGGTCTCTGTCTAACACTAGTGCTTCATTTCAGTGACGTTTGTTAAAAAGCATGAGGGTTTTTTTTTAAATGCAAACTTTATAAATCTGCCTTTTCCTCACATTTTCTAGTCTTGTTATTCAAAGATCATTGTCAATTGTCAATTGTCCAAAAGACCATTGACCAATTGTCAGTGGGCAGGACGTCTGCTCTTCGTTGTATTCGTGGGTGCGGTTGCTGCCACTGCTAACCGTGGGTCTGGGAGCAGGGTGGGGGCTGCTGTTCCCACCCCCCCACACTCAGTCTTAGGGGACCACATTGACTGCCCTTCCTTGGTTAGCTCCATGCTCAGCTGCTGTGTCTGGAATCTCAAAGTGCATCTAATGAATCCAGAGGCAGAGAGGATAGCTGTCAGGAAAACGGGGGCTGCTCCCCGAAAATTGCCCTGCTTCACCTTGGCTTGGAGCCCTTCGCAGTGTGCTGAGTAGCAGTGAGCCTGAAACTGTATACTGAAAACTGAAGAAGCCTTGACCTTCTTCCCTACCATGGTAACTCTGTTTACCTAACATGAGTGCTAGCCAGTCTGCATTGGAATTACGGACCTAAGGGTTAGGTTAGACAGATGAGAGAGAGGGACATTTTGAAACACTCCACGTAGCCTCAGTGGGTTGAGGTATAATTTGCATCTGTATACTGGCTAAGAGCATCCTGTCATCTGTCACCTCCCTTGACTGACTATAATGGGTAATGTGTGTGTATATATATATATATTTTCATATTATGTAATATAGTATCCTTTTTCGAGCACCAAGTCAACCACCTGTTGCAAGGAGGAACCGTGCTAACGTAATAACCTTCAGCTTGCATTGTTAAATGACCACCATTCCGTGTAATGTGATACTCGTGTTTCTGTCCCAAACAGTGACAGACATGGAGTGACATCACCAGGTATAACCAGCTTGCTTCTGTTCTTTGTAGAGTGGGGAGTTAGTTGCTTGACCTTTCCGTTAGCTGTGACCCATTGTTACAAGACGTAGTTTGTCCTGAGTACACCAGTCACTTAGCTGCCTGTTAGTTTAGTTCTGTTTTCTACTCCTTTCTCCGTGTCTCCTTGTTTTATAGATACTGTGTCTTTCCTGAGTAATTCTTAGAAGTAAAGGTAGTAGTTAAGAGGTGAAAATTGATTGTGGGCTGTTCTATGCTTTGAAGCTATTCTAATTGTTACCTAGCAGAATTTTCTGTCTTACCCTTAGTTACATAACAGGGCCTCCATTGAATTATGCATACTTGGGTATTTTTACTGTTAAGACAGCTGCAACTTAGGGGAGGGGGAACCTAGAAAATAATGAGTACATTAAATTTGCCATATGGTAGCCAAGGCTCTAAAGATTAGAAAAGGTGAAAGTTGTGAATAGAAATCAAATCCTAGAAGAAATTACTTTTTTTTTTCTTTCTTTAAAACTTCTCATCCCCAAACAGGCTCCCTGACTGGTAGCCCTCACCTTTCAGAGCTGTCCATCAACTCGCAGGGAGGAGCTGCCCCCGCCACTGCGACCCTGTCTCCCAACCTGAGTCCTGACACCAAGCAGGCCTCACCCTTGATCAGCCCGCTGCTGAACGACCAGGCGTGCCCGAGGACCGACGACGAGGAGGAAGGCCGCAGGAAGGTGCTGGGTGACTTCCGTGTGTGTGCGCGCGTGTGCAGGCACTTCATAAACGGGATGGGGCGGAGAGCGAGAGAAGCCTAGTTCAGGACCACTGGTACTTTCTCACTGTCCCAAAACTGTCATCCCTACCCACCTTCAAGTCTTTTTCATCTTTCCCAACAAAAACTGTTCTCCCTGAAGAGTAATTCCCCATGCCAGCCAGCCACTGGCAACCACCAGTCTACTTGCTGCCTCTGTGAGCTCGACTCCAGGGGCCTTGTATTTGCCCTGTGGTACCTGGCTCATTCCACTCAGCATAAAGTCCTCGCAGTTCACGTCTGTTGTGGCGCGGATCCAAACGCCTTCACTGTGTCCGTTCATCTGCCCCTGGGCAGTGGTGGTGTCCCGCATCTTGCTGTTGTGAGTAATGCTGCTCTGAACACGGGTGTCCACATTCGGCTTTCGGCCTTCTGTGTCTGAACCCAACGTTGAATTGGGTGGATTCTGGTGGGCAGTGCGCAAGACGGCCTGCAGGAAGGGACCTATCTTTCTTAGGGTTCAAAGAGAAAGCAAAACCTGGGGGCGGCTCTGCTCTCGGGGACTTCTGCCCACCTGGGTGATAGGCTCAGGGTACCCGGTCGCCATGGCATCACCAGTGGATTGCACCCTGTTGCTTCTGATCTAGCCACCCTGGGGATCCCCACAAACTCTGTAACTTCCATTTTACAGGATGTCCTCAACACCCGCGCCACCAGGACACAGAACCCTAGTTTCTCTTCCCTGTGTCCCCTTGAAGACTTCATAACTCTGTTCCTTTACTAATTCCAGTCCTGGAGTTGACGTAATATTTACATGGACGCAAACATTCTTAGACCGCATTCTCACCATAGACATCCATTCTTTTATCCTCATTCCTCTCACACAGAAAGGAGAATAAATAAGGGCTTATTTGCTGGCTGGCTAAAGACCATTTAATTAGGAATGCATCACTGCAATCAGGACTGTCTTATGATCTGGACATTCTCCGAGACTAACACTAAAAGTGATTATTGTTCCTCGTTTTCTTTCGTGGATTTTGCAGAGATTTCCAACCGACAAGGCATACTACATTGCTAAAGAAGTGTCCACCACGGAGCGGACATATCTGAAGGATCTCGAGGTCATCACTTCGGTATGTGCAGTATTTCCTCTAGAGCATTACTTCATTTAGCTAAACTAACACTCAGCTTCAGGAAAGAAGCTGGGGCTAATTAAGTGTGAGGTTCTCTGAGTCCAGTTGAAAGGATTTGGGTCGTGGGTTATGGAAATTAAATGCTAATCATCAATTTAATTTGAAATATACTCTAAAAACCTTATCGTTGTAGTTTTCAGTGCAGAGGAAGGAAGCTCTTTAAAGTAGAGAAATTAAAATTAAGGGTTTTACTGTCTGAACACACCGATCCAGAACATTTTTTTGTGTTTTGCCCATTGTCAAATGTAAACTGCTTATTTTCGCTTGGGGGAGATCTCAGAATGAACAGGAGCCTCATTTTGTCTTTGCTGGTAAGTTGAGCCATGTCAGCAAAATCTGCCAGAAGACTGCGTTTTATTACTGTCATCAATCCTGTTCAGTCTTGGAGGCAAAATCAAGGCATTCCGGGTGGCTTTCTGACCCCTTCGCAGTGGGAGAGAACTAGGTGGTTAGATGGTACATTGAAACCACCGAATTTCTGTCCTCCCTGGGACGGGCCTTGTGCTCTGTCCTGTGAATGTTGTGGGCCCCCCGTCCCTACTCACCTCAGTGACCTAAGGACTGTGTGCAGGTCCCCGCTCTGTCCCCTGGGTTGGCCACCTTCATGCTCGGCATTTAACACAGGAGAAGAGGTGGCAGTTCCCAAAGCAGCGAAGCAAGAGGATGTCCTGTGGTGAGAAACCAGTGACATCCAGCAAGGTGGCCAGAAAGGAGGCTTGGGTCCGAGTGGCAGCCTGTGTGAGGAAGTCATCCTGGCCTGAACAGCCCCTGGGCAGAAATTAAGAAAGCAACAGTCTAGAGAGGGCGGCTCAGCCCCCATGGAATAGAGTAGGGGCGGCAGTGAAGCCTGGTCCCCTTCTGTTCCTGGACGCTGAAAGTCTCAGGAGGGCCAGGCCTCCATCGTGCCCTGCTGCCAGTGTCCGCCATTCATCCTGACCCTTCTGATTTCTCCCTGTTTCCCTTCCCAGTGGTTTCAGAGCACAGTGAGCAAAGAAGACGCCATGCCCGAAACATTGAAGAGTCTGATATTCCCCAATTTTGAACCTTTGCACAAATTTCACACCAATTTTCTCAAGGAAATTGAGCAACGACTTGCCCTGTGGTGAGTACAGTTGTGTCCCCTCCTCGTCCTGTTTTGAGGGCTGCTTCTCTTTTGTCCCTCGTAAGCAACAGGCAGGAGCAGCGTCAAAAAGGCTGGTGTGAGGGGCAGCAGCCTTACAAGGATTCTTAAGTTAAATTAGATGTCACTTTGAGTCCCATCTTTACTTTTTTTTCCCACTCTGGCTTATAATTTTTCAAAATGCAATTTTTTTTCGTGATTATTATATGTGATTCTCAGAAAATAAGATAGTAGTGGCTTTCAGAGGGATGGTGAGGATTGAAGGGAAGCTCGTGAAAGGTTTCAGGGTGTTGGTAATAGTTCACTCAGGCTTTCCTTACGGATACTTGTGAAATATGTACGTGTCTCATATGATTTTCTGTACTGTATTTCACCGTATTTAAAAAGTGTTTTTGAAAACTACAAAGCCCAGTGCAACACACACACTTTTATCTTGATTTATCACATGAGTGAACAAAGACATCCAGGGCAGAATTAAAAGGTTAGGAATGACCTAAATGTCCATCAACAGCAGATTGGGTATAAATAATATTTAATCCATCCTTTAAATATAAAATAAAATGTTAACCTGGAGAAAAGAAGGGGGTGCAAAAAAATCCAGAAAACCTACACAGAGTAGAGTGCAAAGTTGATGTAACCTTATCTAAAATAGAACCTTTTATACAAAATTCTTACGGCTCCTTAAAAAATAATTCTCTGTGGACGGGCACATAGGGAGTTGATTGTCTACTAAACATGCATTGCAGAAATGCCAGGAAAAAAACAGCAAAAGGCTTGTGTGCTTTTGGTGGCAATGGAAATCTGTCGTACCCTGTATCCTCGCTACAGGTGACAGCCTGGTGGAGAGTGGCCTCGGGGGCATTCGGTGACTATGGGGCCGGGAGGAGCCCTGTCAGAGGCTGTCTCACCTCGGGTGACCCTGGATTGTGGGCCTCGAGGGTCGGCTTAACGGGAAGCAGAGTTGGTCTCCTGCTTTGTGGGCCAATGTGCTGAGGCCGCCAGAGCTCTCTGATCCTCCCAGCAGTATCGGCTACTGTGGCTTTTACACCAGGAGTATCTGTCACACGCAGCACTTGTTCCTGGCTTTCCTGAGAGGCCCCGGGGGGCACAGCACAGGCAGGATTGATACATAATGGCACAAAGTCAGCCTCGCTAAAATCAGGAGAAAAAAAGGAAATGGCGTTTCAACAAGAAGCTTAGTATTGTGAATATAAAACAAATAGCCTTGTCAAAATGAAAATGCTACGGAATCTTTCTCTCACTTCCCAAACTTTACGTGGACGTGTGTTCTGCCACGTAGCCCCCTCCTTCATCCAAAGGGGACTGATGTCATCAGAGTGGTGAGGGACCTCACAACTCTGGAGAAACCGTTTCCCCTTTGACATGCGGCCGGGGAGACCTGTGTCATCACAGTCTCAGGCACGTCTTCTGGAGGCCATGGGCTTCTGAGTCAGTATCTGCACATGGCAGACGATTTGTAGTCACATTGGAGAGGTCACGTGTAGAAAATGGCATCAACTGGCAGTCCCCACACAGCCCATCTTGATGGCTTTGGTTCCCACTTTGGAGACCACACCAGAGAACTTCGGAGAGCTGTCGGACACATTTCGTTTCAGCAGTAAGTGCCGTACTCGTGGGTTTACATGGGACCACAAATCTCTAGTGTCTGCAGCTTATCTGTAGAATATCCAGGTGCTTAGAGAGCAACTAACATGATTTGATTCCCAAAGGGTTTTCATTACCATATTGCCAAAGATTTCACCCATGTTTTACATGGACATGGGAAAGACTCAAAGCAAAAGAGAGAGCAGATAGACAATATGCTTCTCAGTTGGCAGGACCTTCAGCAGCCTTGTGACCGTGGGCCAAACCATTCATGATGCTTATCCGGAGTAAATGTAAAGCTTAGCAGTCAGGTTCAGCTAACCGATCCCTCAAGTACACAGCAAGGAAGACCTGGCTCTACAGGGACTCAAGAGGAAAGGCCACATGTGAGCGCTAACAGACTAACAACTCAATGGCCTTTTATTTTCATTCATTCATTCATTCATTTATGGTTCCAAGGATTGAACTCAAGGCAAGCGGAAGAACCACTGAGCTAAATCCCTGGCCCTCAATGTCCTTTTATACCCATCGTTCCCAACGTTGTCTACTCATTGAAGTCACCTGGAGCCTTTAAAAAATATTTTCACTGGGCAGAACCCCAGATGAGTGACCTAAGAATGTCTGGACGGTGGTGTCCAAGCACCGATCAGCTCTCTGCAGCTCCCAGGTGATTACAGTGTGTAGCCAAGGTGAAGAACTTTTCCCTGGATGGCGTCTTGTTGCAAGATCCCAGGTCGGAAAGCAATCACTGCTTGAGAGAGATTAAGGCCCACAGCACCTGCAGAACACTACCCAACACTGAGATTCATGTTTGAATGGGGATAATGAGAGTGCATTCCATTAAAACATAATTGGAGGAACTATGGGTATTTGGCTTAGAGAAAACTCTAGAAAGCATGACTTGTTTCACATACCTGTGGGCTGGTCCTATGAGAAAGGGGGCAAGTGTCTTCCTTATACCAGAGGAAAAGCAGAAACAGAGGAGTGACTTTCCAGAGAAGGATATTGTGTCTGAAAACAGGAAAAGGTTTCTTGAGCAATGATGTCATGGTTGCACCCCTCGTGGCCATCTCCCAAAGTATTTATCTGTTGAGTCAGGTCACAAACCTGGCAGTGCATCAAGGAAATGAAAAGTAAAGATGCTGGGCCCCATTCAGCCCTTCTGAATCAGATCCCTGGGGCAAGAAATTGTTATTTTTGTATTACTTCTTGGGGTGACTAAGATGAATACCTGTTTTGGAACGACTGACCTAAACCTCTGGGAGGTCTTAGATTCTGTGGTTTTTGTTATGCATTTCACAGACTGGTTCTATGTGTTCTTCCCTTGAACAAGTAATGGAAGAAGATAGGGATGGATGGAGGTTGGATGAATGGGTGAATAGGTGCTGTGGACCGTTAGGAGGTAGGGTCTTGGGGGAGACCCTGAGGCTGTTGGGAATTGAATGTGGGGACCTGGCTCTGTCCTCTCTCTTTGCCTCCTGCCTGGAGATACAAGCACTCAGTCCAACATGAAGTGCCACCATTGTCATCCCCCACTTCACCAGAGGCCCAAAGCTATGGGGTGGCCAACTCTTGGACTTGAACTCCAAAAATCTTGAGCTACATAACCTTTTGTTCCTTGGTAGCCTGGCTTAGGTGCTTTGTTACAGGAAGGTAAAGCTGACTTACGCAGTTGATGAGTGTGTGCCTGGCTTGGCCCGCAGTGGACTTAGCCCTGTCTTAGTCACTTTGTCAGTGGGACGCAAGATCTGAACCCACAATTTACATGAGGAGAGGTTTATTTGGGCTCATATTTATGGTCTGTGGTTGGCTGGATGGTGCAGCAGAGGGGCATGGCAGACGAGAGCTGCTCATGGCGTGGCAGACAGAGATCAAAAGAAGAGCTGGGAGGGAGATAATTGTTCAGGCCATGGCCCCAGTGACTTCCTCTTCCAACCAGGCCCCCTCCTAACAACAAGTCAGCTAGAAGTCCCCCCAGTCCAGTCACTTTCCACAAACCCCACTTACAAATGCATGAGGCTTTGGGGGGACTCTAGATAGAAACCATAACACAGTTAGAGAAAGAGGCAGCTCAGAGGCAAGAGGGCCAGGTCTTCTGTAGGTGAGAGTGCTGCCTCCAGGGTGGGCACAGAGCACTGCTGCTGCTTTGGCCCTGGAAGGTGTGTGGGCCACTAATGCCTACACGGGACAGGCAAGGCTTGGGCTGAACGAAGGCAGTGATGGGGTGGGTCCCAGGCAGGTTTAGGAGTTACTGACAGACTGCGCATGCGCAATTGGTATGTATACGTAAGTTTCATGATACAGTAAACGCAGGCGGCGCCCATGAGTTGGGTGGTTACGATCCATGGGCCTGGCTGAGTCTCAGTTTCTTATCTGTGAAAAGTGGATCGGAGCTTATGCCTCACAAACCGAACGAGATGATAATTATAGAGGGCTTAGTGTACCTGCACCTCACCCCCTCATAGAAAGAAGGGAGTACTTTACCCCCCTCCCACCCATAGAAAGGTAAAGCTGACTACTTTTCTAAAAATAAATGTATTATGAAATTTTTTAAAAATTTATTTTAATTAACATGTGTTTGCAGTACATAATTACATTCATCGTAGGGAGTCGGTACAGGTACGTCATACCTCTTGCTTCTTTTTACATCCCCTAAAAGAACTCAGGACCTTGCTCTTGCCAGGTAGACGCAGTGCCACTGAGATAAATCCCCAGCCCTTACGTCCCCGAATTTTAAATTTAGAGGTTTCCATGACGATAAGGATTTCTGTACACCCCTCAGCACCTCTTCTCCGAAGTGTTTAATTTTATTCACATTGCCATAGCAGAGTCATCAAAACTAAGAAACCATTACTATGAACTGAATTCCAGATTTTATTCCACGATAGTATTTTTAGTTCTAAGTATTACTGTTGCTGGAAGCAAATCTAAAGTTTACCCCGACAAAGAGTTGCCCAGATTTTGGCACCTGCACAACAGACACCATGATTCTCCCTTTCCAGTCCTTCACAAGGCCCAACGTGTTCCTCCACGGACAGTGGGAAATTCCAGGGCAGACGAGTGGCAGGAAGCTTTCTGGAATGAATAGGCCCAGCCCCACCTTGGTAAACACACCTGCCCCTCTCCAAATGTCACCTTCTCCAGTATCAACACACCTGAGTGCGGGGTGGATGCCCACGGCCAGTGCCATGCTGGCAAAGGCCAGCTTCTCCTGTCTCTTCAAAAGGAAACTGGTTGGATGAGTTCTAAAAACTGGATGAATACTTTTCCTTTTGAAAGCAAAGGACAGTTTACTCAGCTGTTCCAACACATTCACTTACACCCAGCCTTGGGTGTTCCCTCTGCACTGCCCGATGCCAGCCCTGAGATGACGGGCA